CTAATTACAAATAAATCATCAAAAAACACCACAAATAAATCTGATGTTCAGATGTTTGACAACATTAAATATCTCCCTGACAGAGAACAGACTGTGTTTGGATTTCTGTCATTAGATATCGTTCATATAGGTCTGCACATGAACCTGAGCTGGGAGACTAGTTTTTATAAAATTACATCACAATAGATTTGTTTCACACATATTGACTGAAAAACACATTAAAGTTCAAAATGTAAAGTAACGTAGAGTAAAGTAAAGTAACGAGGCTCTTAGAGTAAAGTAACGTAGAGTAAAGTAACGTAGAGTAAAGTAACGAGGCTCTTAGAGTAAAGTAACGTAGAGTAAAGTAACGGGGCTCACACAGTAAAGTAACGTTGAGTAAAGTAACGTTGAGTAAAGTAACGTAGAGTAAAGTAACGAGGCTCTTACAGTAAAGTAATGTAGATTAAAGTAACGTAGAGTAAAGTAACGAGGCTCTTAGATTAAAGTAACGTAGAGGAAAGTAACGGGGCTCACACAGTAAAGTAACGTAGAGTAAAGTAACGTAGAGTACAGTAACGAGGCTCTTACAGTAAAGTAACGTAGAGTAAAGTAACGTAGAGTACAGTAACGAGGCTCTTACAGTAAAGTAACGTAGAGTAAAGTAACGTAGAGGAAAGTAACGTAGAGTAAAGTAACGGGCTCGGGGGTCAGAGGGGAAAGGTTTCCCAGCATCCTCTCTGATTGGCGAAGTGATGTCGGCCATCTTGGATTGTAGCGGGGAAGAAAGATTGATGCGGTGAGATTCTGCTTTTATTCTTTTCAACAATTTAGAACCGAGTTTAGAACCGAAGCGGAGCCGCAGCGGAGCTCGGACCGTGTGCTCGTCACCACGGGACCGAGCTGAGAGGAGAACCGGGGGAACACGACTCTAACCGGAGCAGCGCGGCCCCGGTTCTTTTTGTTGTTGTTTTGGGAAACCGACCGACGGAGGCGGCGTAGGCCCAAACCCGAACAAAACACACTGTAGCCGGCCACTGGCTCTGCCCGGTAGCCGGTCTACCTAACTGCTGAAGACACAGTTTACCGGCTCGACGGGCCACGTTAAAGCCGTTTATAAAAGCTCATGTGGCGGCCTTCTTACGGTGCTTTTAGCCGAGCAGCTAGCCCGGTAGCGAGCGTTAGCTCGCTTGCTAACGTACGCGTGTATTCCCGTTGAAGCAGGCGTTAGCTTACGCGTTAGCCTACGCTAGCTAGCGGTAGCTCCCGACACATTTGGAGCTAACGCGGTAACTGCAGCGAATAACTAATATTTGATCTCAGTCTCACGAAGAGGACGTGACGCGGGTCGAGTCAGTTTATTGGAGTTGAACAAAACAAGCAGGAAACATTGAGTTATGATGAACGTCCGTCAGATTATAGCAGCTTTATTAGCTCATGCTGCTAACATTAGCTGCCTGCGCCTTTAACGGATATTTGAAACAAGAAGAAGAAGTTCTCTGTGTTAACGGCCGCTGGTCCCCGGTGGAAGGTTCCGGAGAACTCATCCTGTGAACCGCAGGGTTTAAATACACTTAACGCACGAGTGAGACACGGTATTAGCCCGTTAGCTTCATTAGCAACTGTTTACTGGCTGGAGATTGCGGGTGTTTTGTTAACCTACTTTCCACCAACACAGTCAAACCAGTGAAATCAGAGCAGACACGTCTGAGCTTCACATCTGTCAATGACCGCTGATAAAACCAGAGTCAGAGCTGCACTGAAAACTTACTGATCTAAAGCTGCTGTGAGTTCATATCCTAGATCTGTGTTTCAGTCTCTGCTGACAGAATCCTCTGCAGACACTGGTATGCACCTTCAAAATTAAACCCTTTTTACATTGATCCCTGTGGCTGGTTTTGTCCAACAGCCCTGACATCAACCTAAAACCCAAATAATATATAAAAATCCACAAATTTAATCTTTGTTTTATAGATTGTATTACTTTGTTTTCAGGCTTTTACAACTTGTTTAATGTGAGGATATGGACTTAACACCTGCACGTGCTTGTGGAATCACAGATGCAGAGATGTGTTTTGGGCATTACAGAGACAATACAGAAGATAAGTTCCTGTTAAAAGAGTAATATTAATGCCCATTATTCATCAATTTGTGTTTCAATTAACTTCTTAGTCAACAAGTAAAACTCTGACTAATAGTTTAAGTTGACCTTTCAAATATCTTCTTTTGTTTGACCAGCAGACTGAAACCTGACGATGTTCAGTTTAATATGAATTAAAGTGGTTAAAATTTAACTTCATTATTAAATTATCAAAACAGTTATAGTTTATTTGTCTGTCAACTGTTGCCTCTGTACAAATATAAGTTTAGTTCACAGGATCTTTTAAGATGGCGTCATGAATCGCTGTGTGTGACAGACAGGAGCTGATTCACCTCATCATTGTGTTCTTGACCATGTTTCCTCTCTGGTTTCTCAGGTGACACGAGGTATGTTTGGTGCTAACCGGAAGAAGTTTATGGAGGGGGGGGTGGAGAACGACTACGCGGACGACTCAAGCCTCTATTACAGCCAGCAGTCCATGTTCCCTCCTCACCGCCCGGATAAAGATGTGAGTAACTGCTAGCCAGGGTTTTCTGAATCAAACTTCATCATACACTTTATACTGTTCCATTATATGTGCATATTTAAAGTATTTTGTGAATACTTCAACTGAGAGTCCTAAGAATTGTAAACACAACTATTAACCATGAACCACCTCATCTCTACCGTTAGTTAAACAATCTGTTGGATTTCCTCTGTGTTCAGATGCTGGTGTCTTCCTCTGCTTCCTCAACGGGTCAACTGTCACAGCTGGGAGCCAGTTTATATGGTCCGCAGAGTAAGATGCACACACACACACTTGTCTGTTTAGGATCTCATTCAAATGCTTAAAACTTTAGACGCTTTAAGTTTCTAATGTACAAAGACAGTTTTCATCATCCACTTTTAGATCTTTTCACAAGTTCAAATATTTATTTTGCCGTGTACGTGAAGCTCACAAGTTTGTTTTCTACACAGATGTTTAAACTGAGATGGCTCATGTCATCAAGATGTCTTCTGTCTCTGTGTCTTTGTTGTAGGTGCGTTGGGGTTTCCCATGCGTGGTATGAACAGCAGCGCAGCACCTCAGTTAAGTCGAAGTGGTCTGAACCAGTCTGCCAGCCAGCTCTCCAGTCATGCCAGTACACCCAACACTGGAACAATGCACACGCCTCCATCACCGAGCAGGTACGGCAAAAATACACTTTCAGTGCTTTAATATGTAGTTTATATTTTCAGTATTTATGTAGTTATGAGCAAAATGGAAATATGCCTAACAATCGATGGATGGAAACATCTGTGTTTTCAGAGCTTTAAAGTTCTGTTTCACAGACTCCATCCACCCAGATAAGTCTCATATCACTTTCACACGACTCCGGAGTTTTCCAGCCTCTTAAATCTTTGTCTTGTTTTAGTTTGAAAATCCGGGGTTGTGTTTTAGTCTGGACTTAGAGAAACTAAGGCTTTTGTAAACAATTATGCAAACGCCCACCTTCTTTTTCTGATTGGCTCTTATCAGTCACTTGACTCGACTACCAGCGGTGAAAGCAAAGCGTCGCTAACACTCACTGTCAGTTACAGTTCCAGCTGCTCATGTTCCTCTTTCTCGCCACAAACTTTATCATATGTGAGCATGAAACCACAAAACCACCTCCTGCAGCTTTAATCCCCTGGTGTCTCTCTCTGCAGGGGGATCCTGCCCATGAGCAGCCGGAGTGTTCTGAACCACAGCCAGCAGGTGGGGGGTCCCACGGGTCAAGCAGGAGGGATGGGTGGTGGCGGTGGAGACAGGGGAGGTGGCGGCGGAGGAGGGAGGAGCGGCAGCATGGGGAGTCCAAGCCGGTCGTCGCCCAGCATCATCGGCATGCCCAAACAGCAGCAAGCACGGCAGCCTTTCACTATAAACAGGTAACACACACAGACTTAGACACTTGACTAGATGTTTAATAATCAGAGAATCAAAGCTTCTTTCCTTTGACATACAACAATTAGTCTCCTGGTTGTTTTCTAATATTTAAGTTTATTGTCTCGTCTGTAAATAAGTAACAAATGTCCATCATAGTCTCCCAGAGTCCGAGGGGACTCGCACTCAGAGTCAAATTAATAAATCAAGATTTTTGCAGCTTCATGTGTTGAAACCAAAAACAAAGAATAACACCAGTGTGATGTTGTGACTCTGGTAAGATCGATACCAGTGTTTTTGACGATTCAGTTTCTCCTTTTGGTTTTAGATGAATTTGTTTTCTCTTCAGTCTCAATCGGTTCAGAGAATAATCCAGTCTGTGTTGTGTGTCAGTATGTCAGGGTTTGGGGTGAACAGAAATCCCGGCTTCAACTTAAACAACTCATTATCCAACAACATCTTCAATGGAACAGGTAAAAAAAAACTTTAACTAAAATGTTTCTCATCTGAGGTTAAATACTTGATTTGTTGAAATATTGGACTAAGCTTCGAAACGTGGTCATTTAACTTTTGTGTTTCTGTTTAGACGGCAGTGAGAATGTGACGGGGCTGGACCTGTCAGATTTCCCGGTGTTAGCAGAGAGGAGTCGGAGGGACGGAGGTTCGAATCCCACCCCACTGCTCAACCCGCTGGCCGGTCGGGCTCCTTACGGTGGGAGTGTGTGATTTCATTACTTTGAATTATTATGCTGTAATCAACGCATTGCTAACTGCTCTTTCCTCCATTTTCCCAGTTGGCATGGTAACCAAGCCGTCCAGTGAGCAGTCGCAAGACTTCTCCATCCATAACGAAGATTTCCCAGCTCTCCCTGGGCCCAACTACCAAACAAAAGACCCCACCAGCACCAACGAAGACAGCAAAACGGTGACTTTTCTCTTGGTGGTTTCTGACCCTCCGGGCGCTCTGCGCTCCGACGGTTTCACTTTGGTTTATGAATGAAAATAGATTCAAAGTGTCAAACTGTATTTAGCGGCATCGTGTTGTAGTTTGATTTCAGATAGTGGAAGGAAGTAGAAAGGTGTCACACGTCTCTGTTTGCAGTCTGTGGTCGAGCTTCCTGTTCGTTTCTTCGGCTCGTCCCACTTATTTTGTGTCTAATTTTTTTCCCTCCTTTTTATTGTCCAATCAGAATCTGAACTTGTCAGGAAAGTCCACCTCTAACTCAGATGGTCCAAAGTTCCCTGGTGACAAGAGCTCTGCGCCTAGCAACAACAACCAGCAGAAGAAAGGGATTCAGGTTCTTCCTGACGGTGAGAGTCATGTGACACGTCCACAGAGAGGAGGGAACCATATGAGCGAAATTTAGTCTGAACCGTTGTCATCTGTTCTTTCTGTGTCACAGGGCGCGTGACCAACATCCCGGTCGGCATGGTAACAGACCAGTTTGGAATGATTGGCTTGCTGACATTCATCCGGGCGGCAGAGACGGACCCTGGCATGGTCCACCTGGCGCTGGGCTCAGACCTCACCACGCTGGGCCTCAACCTCAACTCACCCGAGTACGACACACACACAAGCCTGTTCTTCAGATGTAGCTTAAATAAATCATATCAGCATCTGTACGATTTGGCTTCGAGCTGATCGTGTGCTGCAGGTACATGTGTTGGGACAGGAACAATTCACCAGGGCATTTTTCACTAGTCTAATCTTATGTATGTTCCTGTGTTTCAAAGAATTCGGACTTCAACAATCAATTTTAGATAATTCAGTTCTTCGTGTACTAAGAAGAGAGAGATTTGAGATAATAGCAGATTCAAGAAACGACATCAGCCATTTATAAATCCAAGGTCAAGGTCTAAAACCTGTCCTGTGGCCACAGTGTCTAATGAATATATATCTTTTTTTCAATCGTAGAGAAAGTAAATCTAAATGTCTCTCCCTTTTTTTCTGTCTTGAGCAGGAATCTCTACCCTAAGTTTGCGTCTCCCTGGGCGTCGGCTCCTTGTCGACCGCAGGATATAGGTGAGTTTGAATGTTTGACTATTCGTCCTTGTTTTCATCACGTGGTCACAAAGCAGCTCCGATAATCATGGTGCTGGATATGTAAATAGTTTGTAAGACGATGGGAGTTTTTGATCTGTAAAAAATGTGAAGTAAAAGTTTCACAGAATCAATTTCTGCACAATTGTCATATTTAAAAAGGACCAAGAACAAAAAACATGAACGAACAGAACTTTTCAAAGTTAAATGCTGCATCACAGCTTTTTGTCTGTCGCCTGTTAATATTCTGTACGCTGTCCCCGAGTGGCCAAAGTATGTGAATTGAAAGGATTTGATCCGTTCACTTGATTTTAATATGCATCTCTTACTTTGACATCATTTCCTCCTTCAGACTTCCACGTCCCGTCGGAGTATTTAACCAACATACACATAAGGGACAAGGTACGTAATTGGCATGAAAGTACATCAGGGTTAATTAGAGGATTTCTGGTCTGAGTATCTCATTCTCTAACCTCCACCCTCCTCTCTGCAGTTAGCAGCTATCAAGTTGTCTCGATATGGTGAAGATCTGCTGTTTTATCTCTACTATATGAACGGTGGAGACCTACTACAACTACTGGCTGCAGTAGAACTGTGAGAGGAACACACACACACACACACAGTAATTACCCAGAAAGTCAAAGTGAGTGTTGATTAGAGGCGGAGTTATAGTGAACTGTTGTGTGTTTCCAGCTTTAACAGGGACTGGCGGTATCACAAAGAGGAGCGGGTTTGGATCACCCGGGCTCCGGGGATGGAGCCCACGCTGAAGACCAACGCCTACGAGAGAGGGACCTACTACTTCTTCGACTGCATCAACTGGAGAAAAGTGGCCAAGGTGAACGTGAACACATATTTATATTTGTCACTTCCCCAGTGTGGGTTATTGAGATCTCACCCTGTAACTGTTTTTTTAGACCCATTTTAATGCTCTTGATTTTTGCCTTTAAACATCATGTTCACCGTGTTTTGTTCTGTGTCTTTGTTTCAGTACGTTGCCTTTAGGACGAGGGATTTGAATGTTTAAAGTGTAAATACAGATTTAAAATGTGAAGCTTTTTTTGTAAAATTGATTTGACATCAAGCAACATTCACCTTTCGAAAATAAAAAGCAGGTAAAATCCAGTGAATGAATTATTCATGAAAATAACCGTAAAGTTTCTGTTGATTAATTAATGATGAGTTGACTACTCGTTTAATTATATATTTTACAGATAAGATGTTTTACTAGCTGTAAAGTAAATTAAATCCAGAACTGTGATTAATTAAATTCCGATGTGAACTCACGTTTAAAACTTTCTCTTTGTTTTCAGGAGTTTCATCTGGAGTACGATAAACTAGAAGAGCGGCCTCACGTTCCCTCCACATTCAACTACAATCCTGCCCAGCAGGCCTTCTGATTGGCTCTCCCTCCTCCTGCCTGCCTGCCATTGGCCCTCCTGGCTCCTCCATCACCACCCGTCTAGGTTTTATTCCACCTCCACACACATTTAAAGTGAATCTGGCCGTTAAGGAGTCGGGACAGGAGAGGACGTCCTGTCTCTTGACCTCTTAAGACTTTATCATTTTAACTTTACAGATTTTTTCTTTGTTCTTTACCTCATTTTATTTTGTTTTTAACTTTATTTCCCACCCTCCCTCCATGGGTTTGGTTCTGTTTTGTGGAGCACAGACTTAATGTCAACAGACAGCACAGTACAACAATCACAGACACGAGTGCTGTAAATAACTGTCCATCTGATCGAGTGATTCTCGTTTCTACTCCGTCTTTCAGAATCTACTATTTTTTTGTCAAGAGAAGCTTTTAAGAAGAAGCAGATTTTAACACAGAACACAGGATTCGATCACAAACGTCAGGATGGATAATTATTTCAGTCTGTGTCTGAAGAACTAAAGATATTTATCAGTTTTTCTTTATTTTTACCAGGTTTCTCCAACATTACACATCAGAGCACACACATCAGCAAACAGTGGACAGTCAGGAGAGGAAATGCAATGTACATTGTAGCACTATTTCATAATAAAAGGAGAAAAAACATCTTTTATTTTGGTTTGTTTTGTGGCAGTGCCTGAAGCAGCAGCGGGTTTAGGATTAAAGACTTTTGGGGTTTTAACCAAATCAAGTAAAGTTTAATGACCAGAAACACCAGCGACTCAAAGTTAGTTTAAAGACTAAACTTAAAGAGAAAATGGCTTTTGGAAATATTTTTTTTTCCTTATTATTGTCAGAAATTCCTTATAAGGACCAGAGGACCAAAACCAGGGACGTCACCGGGGGGGGGGCACTGTGGTGAACATTCGGGGCAGCAGGACACTTTGTAGGACTGAGTGAGAATAAGAGATAAAATCATGTTCACTGATGTTTCAATAGACTCGAGACAGAAGTCACATGTATCAATACTCATTAGTAAGAGTTTGAACATGGGAGAAGAAAATATCACCACACGTCTCTTCTAATTTATTTTCATTAAATAACGCAGCAGAACAATAATAAGTAAAATAAAAAGAAAGTGAGAAATAAAATTCATCATGTCAAAGCTCAGAGGATAAAAGTTTCAGACAGATTAAAAATGTCTTCACATCTCGTTCACACTCTTCATCCACAGTTTTAATTTCCATTTTATTTGATTCCAACATTACAGCTCCTGTTTTCTCTCTGTAGCTCCTCATTTCTTCACCTTTCGTATTTCATTCATTTTATCTTTTCTGTCACCTCCTTCATTTATTTGCAGCATCTGTTTTCTGCTCAGCAACAGTCGAACCAATCAGACTGCTGGATAACCTCTCCGAGGGAAAAGTAGGAAAGGTTTGACATGTTGGGAAATGTGTTTATTCACTTTCTTGCTGAGATTCAGTGATTGATGCCACCTTCATGTCAGTGCTGCAAATATTAGGCAACAGTCAGCAGATGATTAACCTGGTGAACACAGGAGATGACATCACAACGCTCCTTTAGAACTCGGTCACACCTGATCTGTTTCAGACTCGTTCCTCAGACCAGAACAAGTGTTTTCACTCTGGATCGAACTGAACCAGAGTGAAAACACTTTGTTGGAGAGTTTGGACTTTTGGACCAATCACAGGAAGTAGAGACACATTAAACCACAGAAGAAGAAGCAGCTGCAGTCTTCACCTCTGCCTTTTGAACCACACGCACGGACACGAGGGTGGTGTCAACCTCTCAGTGAATTGTCCCAGATGTTAAACTTTCAGGGTCATGAAATGTCCCAAAAAGCCTTAAATGTATTGATTTATTTGATTTAACTTCCCTCCAGGAGTTACCAATGTCCAGTCGGGTGTGTGTCTACATATACACGTCTTTATACGTCTGTGTTTATACACACACCTAGAATACGAGGCAGTATTTTTAAGAAAACAGGAAAAACCAAAAATCTTTTTTCTGAAACGAGGAGACTCTTCTGCTGGCCGCCAGTAAACAATGCAATATCCGACTTCCTGTTACCATGGAAACCATCACGGAGATGGTGTTTGCAGGGGACCACCTCCGACTCCACGGACACATCAACCAACCAACCACCTTCCAGCAATGACGCCCGCTGCAGCGACCATGACGACGACTGTGACGGCGTTGCCACGACTACAGGGGCCAGCTTGTTGACACTACAGCAGAAAAGCCAAGGACACGCCCACAGATCCCATGTGACCTGCTCGACAAGATTTGATTGGAGAAATACGACTGAGGCACTTGGCCATTGGCTGTTTTATTAAATATGGCAGCTAGTGTTTTAATAGGAAAAAGAATAAAATAAATATTCTGATAATGAAATTTAATGACGACTCTGGATTGTTTGTTTTGTGTTACTATGGAAACCGTCACGTTTTATTTTTCAGGACAGGAAATGTAGTGATCCTGTGAAAACGCTGGTTTTGTTCCGAGGCGTCTGAAGAAGATTCCTCTGGTACCTGCACGACAACACGCTGATACAACAACAGTTTAACGTTACCTGCATTTCAAACTGTGTGAACTTACGTTTGTCTGATATTTATATTACAATATTCATATTTAACAACTGCAGATATTCTTTCTCACTTGAAAAAACATTTCTTTGGATGTAAGTTGACAGAAAACAGTTGCAGCTTATTGTCCACATGAGGGCGCCATACACCAAAACAAACTACTGCCCGGAGAACAGGTTCAACTGAATTAACCCAGAGAAGAAGAATCAGTGTGTAAGTTCTATTTTTCATGATTCCAACATCAGTTGTTTCATCTGGTTCTGATAATGATGACGAATCTACTTTAAACAAAAACTGTAAATTCCTTCTTTCACTTCTTTAGCAGCAAAAAACCATTGAAATGATTCGTGTTAAATAATTTGATATTTAACAATTTAAATAAGTGTCTTCTCATTTCATTACAGCCGAGTGGACAGAGACACACAAGATGAAGAGGCTTCTAACCTGCAGGTGAACACACACACTCTACAGACACACACACACACACACACAATAACAAAAGACCTAACGTGGTGACAAAAGCTAAGTTTACTGAAATGACGGAAACTAGAAAATGAAATATCTGCTGAAGAGAAATATTGAAAGCAGATAACGATGAAGTTCCTGTTGACTGATGTCATTTCCTTCACTGCATCATTTAACATGAGAGATAATCTCACAGGCTTGTTTTCATTCTATTTGAATTCTGTCTGACCAGCGGTTATGTGACTACATGAATGTGTGGGAGTGAGAACATGAGCAGCTCCACTTTGTTTTCTCATTGGACCTCAAATTAGAATAAAGATCTTTAATCTCGAGTGAAGTGTCGTGCACAGTGATGTAGATAATGAAGAAGTGAAACCTGTTGTTGAGATGAAACCATGTGTTGAACATAAAGTGTGTCTGATGCAGAAGCTGCTGCCGCTCACTGCTCCGTCCATCAGCTCCACGAGCGAGGATGAGATCGTCCTCTGTGGATTTTGGGATTTTCAGCCAAATGTTGCCTCAGCAGCAAACACCGTGCTTCCTAATCGCATCATCTGAATGTTGGTTGGAGTCGATGCTCCTCTGCATCCATTCTGATTCGGTTTAAACCTAAACCCGTCCTCAGAGGACACCGACAGCAGCCGCTCATGTCCCCGGGATCATTTCGCTCAGTTTCAGTTGGTGAGTTTTAATCTGAGGTGTGAAAATGAGGCGCTGACATTTGTCTGCTGTTCCTCTGTTTGCTCGGACACGTGGCTCCTCCGCTGATGTCCGTTAATATTTGTAATCTCTTGATCTGCAGAGATGATAATAATCCTGCCACATGCCTCCCTGATTACCAGCGCGTCACGCGCAGGCTTTATTCTGGAGCCTCCGCACTTTAGAAGTCAAACACTTCTTCACTGCAGCCATGTTGGTTTTTAGAGTATTTAAATATTTCCATGACAGAACACTTGGTTTATTTAGTTTCTGCTCACGAGATTCATCTTTATGGTCAAATCTTCAACTCTTCACGTCTTTGTTAGATTCAGTGACGTCACCACGTGATTCTGCCTCTAACACTCGTCACTGCAGAGAAATCAAGAACTTCTGTCAGCACACACACAC